ATCTGACAGCATGGCAGTGTAGTCAAATATTCCTAAAACAGTAGTGGAATACACAGTATATGCTATGAAAACCTTTGCAGAGTTCAGGCACTGCATATTTCCACCTAAGACTTAACATCTTAGCCCATTGTGTGGTTGAGGATAATGGCAATTTGAGACAATGTTTTCCAGCACTTTCTCTTCTAGTACTGCTATGCAGTTCTGAGAGGACTTTTCATTCTGAACCCTGCATAATCTATGGCCCCAGAACTGCAAGAAAAATATACTTAGGAAAACCAAAAAACAATAAACATTGGACTTTCCCCCCTGTGATTTTCCTCACTATTGGTCTAGTTTATGCTTCCAAAGACCACGCATTTATTTCCTCCTGGCTGTTAAAGCTCCTTTTCTCTCTTATTCCCTCTTCCTATAGCTCTTTCACCCTACAACTGGTATGGACAGCTAAGATGAAAGAAAGAAAAAATAAATGGAAAAAGATGAAAGACCTCTACCAGGAATCTCTTGCAAAAGGAAATTTGAGATATCTCTGTGGTGTGAGAGTAAGAAGGTGTTTGGAGAGGTCTTCCTGTCTTTGTCTTTATTGTCTGTCAGACAGACAATAGCAGAACTAAAGTGTTAATCTGAAATTGTTTCTGGAACAAATCCCTCGACCCTTTATGGGGTGGTAGCATTCAAATGGGGCTGACTTTTCCCAGTCTCTGCCAGCCCTATTTGAATGGGAACCTCTCATCCCATTCCCAACAGCAGGCTGAGCCACATGAGCGTTTTTTCAGCAAAGTAACCCCCATGGGCACTTCTTGCCCTCTCTGTGTTGATTTGATTAATAGGCTGGTCTGAGCAACATCATCTTCTCGAGCACTGAGACATCAGGACACCTGACGTCACTGAGAGGGTGCAATGGCTGCTCTCCAAACCCTGCAGCAGGGAGCACTGGGGCATAGGAGCTGACTTACAGAATTGTCCTCACATGCAGTGACAAAGGAAGCAGGGACATCGGTCACAAAGAGACCAGGGCTTTGACAGTGACAGCTGATGATCTACAGCAGCTGCACTTGGTTTGCAGTCAGTTCATGCTACACTTTAGATGTTTATGTGTCTTTCTGGGATTTTTTTTCTCTTTTATCATATCCACGGAATTATGCACATTGTTCCAGTTGCTGTGTATATTCCAGCCTGAGAAATTGTTCTCTTTCAAATCCCTGGTGGCCTGCTAAAACCCCAAAACAAGCTGCAAGGATTAATTCCTCCCCAGATAAGATTTTCCTAAACCCTAACAGATAATTTGTTTGAAGTTTAATTTTAGTCTGTTATTACACACATGGGCCTTATCTTCATTCAGAGTCGTTAGCAAAATTAAACAAGCCTCTGCAAACAGGAAAGGGAAGCATGAAAGAACCCTAGCACATAATAAGTGACAATCAGAGTTAAAGGCACTAATGGTAGGCTTATGCAGTGTTGGCAAGTCTGAGCCCTCAAGGGACTGGTGATTTGTTGTGTTCTTCATGACCCATGAACCAGGGGTACATCCTCCCCTCTGGGATCTCATGATGCTCAAGCTGCCTCTGCCATGGTCCATGATAGGGCACCTAAGCCCCGCCCCTCCTTCTAGTTAACAGGATGCCTCATTCCATTGTTTCCCACCTCTTGCCCTTCTCCCTACATTGCAGCAGCTGTGGGTTTGCTCCCTTAGATGCTGAAGAAATTACAGCAGCTGTGCTCAGTGGAACAAAGAGAAGAAAAACAAGGCCACATCACATCTTGTGTAATCCATTGAAATGTTCACTGGAGCACTGGTACCACTGATTGAAGTCTATCCTAACTGCTTTGCACAGTGGATCCATATCCCCAGCGGGCTGAACTCTTATCTTCTATCCATCATGACACAGGAGCCAGGGCAGACGATTGTCTCCCTGTTGTACCACTCTGTAAATAGGATTTGGACTCTCAGTCTCAAGGTATAGGAGGGTGTCAGGACATTTTAGCACTTCACTGTAGTCCTGATTAGGGTGATGTTTAAGGGAATATCTAGACAGCTGCCACATTTGTGCTATTCCACCTCAGTCAACAATGCCTGAACCAGAGCTCAGCTGAGAATGTTGTACTTCCTATAAAGTCTTGTCATTACTAAAATCAAGACTCTTCAGGAAGTGCTCTGAAAGTCTCCCTTCTCCAACAGCAGTTTTATAGAAACTCCAGATCTAGAAAAGAGAAAAGGGAATACTAGTACTAATGACTTTAACCAACCTAGAAGAGGAGCAATGCCGCTGCCTTTAAATCAGTTTCTTTCTTCTTTAGCCCTGCTGTGACCACCCAGGTGTCTCTAGAGAATACATGAGTAATTCTGCTGCACTGGAGCTGAAAGGGATACTTGGAGCTCTTCCACTTAGGCATATGATTAGGCCTCAGGACAGGATGCTGAACACCTGAGTTGCATTTTCTACTCTTCCCCAAGTCTGTAAGTCCATGACCAAGTCACTTAGGGCCAGATTGAGAGGAATATCAGGAGCATGCCAATATGTCCCTTGAGCATCCAGACAAACAGCCTGAGGGCTACCCTGACCTTTTCCACTGCTCTTAGGTAGAAGCAGGCACCTCAGAAGAGATGAGAAATTGTGGTGGCCATTGTCATATTTCCTAATCATCCAGATGTATTATCAATGTAGTCATCTAATTTATTATTTTCCTATGGGTATAAAAATAATTATGATTAATTAATTGTTATTTTTTAAAGAAAATATTCTAATTCAGACTCTCTTTGCAAATCAATTGAACAAAAATTAAGCAAGACAGTCTAGATTAAGGTTGTACAGTAATCTCCCATCCACACACTTTACCTATATGTAGTAATATAAATGCATTAATAATGGTTAACCAGCTATTTCAGCAGTTACAGATATGACACATATGTTTTAATGACAAAGTAAAAGAGAGTGAATATCACTAGTTCCTCATATTTCTCATCAATGTGTATGTTTCTACCACAGAAATTAAGACTTGTTAATCCTTGTAAAGGCAGCCTTGTGGCACGGGAAATCCTGTATCTGAACACCAATGTGATGCATCAATAAAAACCATCGAATTCAGCCATTATTTTCGTTGATGGAGAATTGACTGTGTAATCTCACTTAGGGCAGCCTGAAAAAAGAAACTCTAATAGCCAGAAAATGTCTTCATTCTCCCTGCCTTGTAATATGGGTAGGACTGTGTAGAGTTAAATAGAACAGAGAACAATTTTTCTCCTGAATAAGTATTACACAGCAAAAGAATAAGATGGCAACAGACACAAGCTGCTGTAATGGACATTCTGGTTAGAAAGAATCACAGAACAGGTGAGGTTGGGAGGGACCCCATTAGGTCATCACTTTCCTATCATCAGATAGAAGGAAATAAATTCATTCATTGTGGTGAAACACTGCACTGTGCTGCCCAAAGAGGTTGTAGGATCTTTGTCCTCAGAGACACTCAGAACTAGACTTCACAAAGCCTTGTTAACCTGATCTAACTTTGACATTTCCCATGCTTTGAGCAAGGTGTTGGACCAAATGAGCTCCAGAGCTCATTTTTATACTTCTATGATTTTATGATGGACACAAAAGTGCTTTTGATGCATTAATTGACAAGGTTTTGTATATTACCAAGAGGGAGCAATATGTTTTAGTTCATGTACATGAATACACACACTATGCTGGAGGACTAAAGGCAGGAATGAAAAATACCATATAGGCTTCAAATACCTGCATGCAATTTCACAACTTCAGAGAGCAGCCTCCTGCTCTGGGTCATGAGTGTGGCTGTTCCCTAGAGGTCAGACCACATCTTTTGTAAAGATTCTGAGAGACCAACTTCTATAGGTAAAAGTGAAATTGGAAGTATTTTAATCAGAATTATATTTTCAGGCTTTCTCCTTGCAGTAATTTTTAGTGCTTTCCCCCCCTTTTTACCTTTTTTTTTTTTCCTGGAAAGCATATAATACCTCCAAACAGACTAGGTAGTATTATGTTCCTCTAAGAGGTCACTAAAATTGGGCGAGTTCTTAAAAAATTATTGGCAGCAGGCAACATTTCCAAATTATTTATTTCCATAATACTTTCCACAAATAATTTTGTTTTTTCTTTTCCTTAACAAAATGAACTATTTTGATAGCAAAACTATTAAAAAATAGTATATATTCAAGTTTCTGTGAAAGCATTACAGCAAATCTACCACTGCATGTATGTTCCTCCTCAGCTTGCACAGTCATGCCAGACTGTTTGCTGTAAACAGTAACAGCATGTTGTAACTTCATACTGGGAAAAGGAAAAAAGCATTTTCAACAGCAGTCTGAGTAAGATTGTAAACAACATAACAAGCTGTGAAAAGAACAAAGTGATGCCCTATTGCTGAACAAAGACCTCTAAACACAGATATGCAAGGTAAGGTACCTGGGTATCAATATGGCTAGTGCAGATAGGGGCTGAATCTGCATTTTTCTGCCATGGGACTACACATACCCTGTGAGATGCAAACCATGCTTTTCATAGACTGAAAGCCATTCTGATTCAAACTAAACATTGTAACTAATTCTCATTAGAAGCAAGTTAGGTAATTTAGATTAGTCTCAGGTAATTTAGGTCTCCAAATCCAAGGTTCAAGTGACCAAGGAAAAGTCTTCCTGTGTTCCAACATCTTGCTTTCATTTGCCTCTAAACACTTGGAAAATGTGAGCTGGTAGAAACTCAGGATTCGGGGACAAGGAGGCAGAAAACTCCTCAATGTTGTGACTCTGGCGAGCAGATGATGGCAGCAGGGGAATGCCAGATATTTGGATTGCCAATGGAGTTGATATCAAGACTGATTTATCTTTATTGCAATCACTTTTTTGTGGCTGTTATGATACAGAGAGAGAGAGACTCACACTTTTGGCTTTGATGATTTATGTAGTAAAAGGACTACTTTATTTACATTACACGTCTATTTATAGAATTTCAACGACGACTATGGATTGGACAGTGAGGGTAAGACCTCCTGACTCCATAGGTCTCATCAACAGTCCATCAATTCTCTCTTCCTCTAAAGAGGAATGCAAAACAATCATTGTTTAGAAGAAAGAGTGTGAGAAAGTGTAAAAGAATCTGTCAACTATCAGAAGGCTGGAACACAAGGCAACACTTTTTATAGAATTTTTTTTTTAAATTCTGTACTAGTTATTTAGAGTCATAGCGAAGCTGTTAGTTTTTGTGGGGAATCTGGTGCTCATGGTGATAGCATTGGACAGTCAACTATGTTTTCCTGAAGGCACACTTCAATAAATCTTTATGCCAACAGAGCTCTGGGATCAATCAAATCTTCACATGCTGTCCAAATAAGCCATATTTTCAAACCTTTTGGGCTTGATCCAAAAGTAGAACAGTGCTTCAAACATCTCAGATGTTTTGGAAGGTAAATTCAAAACTCTCACTCTACCGTGAGGTCACCTTTAACAACTTTATTTACTGAAAAAAAATTCTCTCTGATCAAGAGAATGGTCCTGAAATCTATAATGGGATCCAATTTGTGTGGTTTGTTTTCATCTGGGATTTTAAGACTGCTGGTTCTTATTTCTTCATGTGCTATTGATTTGTGTTCCCTGACAGAATAAGCACAAGATTCATTTACATGAATAACCCCTGAGGCTTGAAATGCCCCAGTACTCTAACAGAACACCTCATTTTTATTTATTTTTTGTGGCAGTGTATTTTTCCCCACTGGTTACTAACTGCTCTCATCCTAACATTATGCCAGTATAAAACTTGAGAGCTGATTTAAATCACTACCCTAAAAAGAAAAGACAAATGGTAGCTCCAACAGGAGATGCAATAGGGGGGTTCACTCCCACATGGCCTCTTGCTGGTGTGATATTCACAGTCCAGGTCACTCACACCAACACAGCCCTGCTGCCCACAAGATGTTTATGGGAGAACATCTCAGGTGTAGCCTGCATGGAACAGGACAGCTCTTTGTCTCTTAGGCAGATAAGCCATAGGGTAAATGCTATCCTGTGGACTGCTCAACTTCATGAAGTTTTTCCATCCTTTTATCATAATTTGCTTTTCCCTGTATGTTCTTCCACCATGCTTAGTTTTTATAAAATTCGGAAAAAGTATGATATATGTGGAATGGATCCTGGAGCAGGGACTGTTTAACAGAACTGGCAATACTAGTGCTGCTCACTTGGAGCCCAAAAGTTATGAATCAGACCCTTGAAAACTCGCAGAATCCTGCCATTTTTCACTCACATTTAGGATTATGTAACACCCCTGATTCTGTGTGTAGTTTGCACAGCATGCAGCTTACTCTTCCATGCCACTACAACTCCCCATGGGCTGGGAGCTGAGTAGCTTCATGTCCAGCATTCTGCTGAGAATCTGCCTCTCTCAGCTTTCCTGTACTGCTTTTTCTGTTTCTTGGGAGGTGTTTGGTGCCTGCACTCAGACTTGCTTGTTGGCAGGTAATGCCCTAGTGCCTTGACTGCCACAGGAACACGCTTTCAGCTCAGATTGGTGTTGTCCAAGTTCCTTCTGCACCCTTTGTAAGTTGTTAAGGGGCTGGTTGTTTTACCTGTCAGCCTCTGCTTGGCAGCATTTTAGTCTCTAAAGGCTGAAAAGCACCATTACTCTCCCTCTCCCTCTGCATCACGCCTGTCCTTCATGCCTTATGCTGCTTGATGAGCAAGCATTCCCCACTGAGCCATTCTGCAGCTGCACACCAGCACCACTACCTGATCCCTGACCTGCTCTGTGTGCTTGGACTGGCCATGCTTTGCATCACATGCTTGAACACACCTCTTGCTGCTGTGAAAAGAGGGCAGTCCAGCTCCTACAACCAGAACATAACACACCATCAATACGTTCATCCTGGTGTATGAAGGCAAGAACCACCCCCTGGCTTTTCCTCAAGTAATAGCTTCCTTTTCTTTTTAGCCCTTTAATATTATTATTATTATTTTTTTTAATCGATTGGGGTGGAGCCAGTATTTGTCTTCGTATATTCAACTGTTTCCATTATATTCAAACATGGATGTTCAATGCACTTGGCTTAGCTCAAGACTATACCTTTTATATCTCTGGCTTATTATGGCAGGTATTCATCTTGTTTGGTCAATTCTTCTGCTGGCATTAGCTGATATTTTTTGAAGTCCTGCATCATACACCTGACCCATACTCACAGGGAGCAGAGAGAATTCTCTGTGAGAGCCACAGATTGATCTGCTGGACCCAGCTCTCTCTCTGTTGGATGGTCCAATAGCACCCTGACAGACCCGTGTTTGTCACACAGTCTGTGCTTACACCCCGGTGAGCTGCCAGTAGTTACCCTTGCAGTCTTTATCCTTGGCTTGTGTTACTGGAGACTCCTGCAGGATGTGCTGTAGTGCCTCACAAGTGCTCTACAATGGCTTCTGATCCAGCTGCACATGTAGCTCACTCCCAAAAGTAACAAGAGACAGAGGAGCTCACTGCCCTCATTTGAGAGTGACATTGGAACCATGGGCTGGCCACTGGTGGATCTGAGGATTCAGGCAAGGAAAGCCTCTGCAGTCTGGAGTTTTATAGTAATGAACTAGCTCTTCAGGCAGGTTCTGCTTAAAGGCAGGCAAATAAATAAATTAAACAAATAAATAAATACATAAATAAAATAAAGTCAGATAGAAAAAGGGCCCATCTAGAGTCACAGAGCAGAAAGAAAGAGAAATACAAAGAGGAGGAGAAAAATACAATACAACAAAACCAGGGAGATTTAGAGTAGGTTCATTGTAAAAAGGGAGAGGATGGGAAAGGGAAGCTGAAATCTAGAAAATTACTCAGTAGGATAATAAAGAGCATGTTCTCAGACTTTAATTGTCTTTCAGTTAAACTCTTATGCTTTTATTTGGAGTTAAGATAAGGAAGGTGGACTTGCCAGCACATAATAAGCTATATTTTTTTGGCTTTTCTCTTAGATCTTACAGATCTAGGGATAATATTTTCAGTATTGCTTGAGTGCTCTGTAGCACTCAATTCTATGTAACCATGCCACAGAATGCAAAAACTTTAATAACTCCTGTCTCAAAAAAAAAAAAAAAAAAAAAGAATTGAAATGCTGGCTTTTCTAAGGTCAGTGAAAAAACTCTATTTCACTTCAGTGAGAATTCAGGATTTCATCTCAGACATGAAGGTTGTTCAATATTGAGAGTTCTATGAACTTCAGGTCATCACCAAAGCCAAATCTTGGGATTCAGGTGTTTTTTCCCTAGAAGCTAATGTAAGCTGGCAGGAGTTTCTCCCATTCCTCGTAAAGCAGAGAGACTATGCCTGGATGAGTAAAAAAATAAGCTGCAATTCTTCTTACTCTGAAGAAGAATTTCTCTGTGTGGTGTAGCAGGGCTAGGTTTCACAAAAGTGATTAGAAAACATTAGAAAACAGGACTTTCAATGAAGACATTATCTCTAATCCAAGAATTCTCTTTTTTCCTGTCTGCTGGGGAGCAGTGCTTTACAGACAAATACAAAGGCAAAATAGCAATGTGCTCTGAATAACTTACATTCAAATTAGATTGACAACATAATGAAAGCTTAATAATGTTATATTTGGAAGTCATTGATAGAAATCATTTTCAGCTCATATCTTGAGAGGATAGTAGGATGAGTGGTTATCTATGCCTCTGCTACTCTGCTTCTTCTTTCACAGTCATTTTCTTCTCTCATCTTGCCTGGCACTCTTCAAAAATAGCCTCTAAGACATGAAATTTATCTTTATTCTTAAAAAAAAAATCCTCCTAACTTTCTGGATGGACCCTTATAATGCTCCAATAATGTTTTAGAGTTGGTGTACTCAAATCCTCACTGATTTCCAGGATGGGTCTTAAATCACACATTATATACTCTTATCCACCAATACTCTGCTCTGGATTTACAGTTCCAGTTAAACTTAGATCTGTGAAGGAAGATGACATCTTGCTGCTCCCTATCTTTTTAAAATACCAATCGATTTAAGGGTTTAACTTATTGTTATAGTTTATCCTGAACCTTCTGAATCAGTTCATTGAATTTTAGCTGTAGCTATATAAAATTCTATACACTGAAATTGTTTGGCCACACTGAGAATGTCTATGCCATGATCCATCACTGCCACTAACTGCCAGCAATAAAGAAATCCTCCTTTATTCTCCACTCATTTAAGTGAATCTCTAAAACTGCTATTGAACACCAGGAGTACATCTTACTAGGTTTTAATTTTTTTCTTATTCTTTTAAGAAGCATTAATATTTACCTGAAATGCACATCATTGCTGAGTGTCTTCAGTAGCTGTCAAAGAGACACTGGGAAGACACAACAAAATACAGACTTGTAAGACTATAGTAATGAGCAAGATAATGGAAACATTTATACGGCAGATTACAATTCATTTAGGAATGTGATTTAGTAAAGGGAAAGCTGCCTGGTTCTGCTAAAAGAGGATCATATATGACAAATGTATTAGGGTGATTTCAAAGCATTGCTGAATTGATAAAAATCGTTGAAATCGTTGACATAATTCATCCAGATTTCAGGAAAGTATTTATTACAGACTGTACAGGAGATCAATTTACGAGGTCAGAAAGCTGAGCATAGGGGACAACTCTTGAAATGGAATACAAATTGGTTGAGGCACAAGAAACAGATGGTGTCAGTAAAATGAAACAATTCAGGGTGCGATGAGGTAAGGATTTACCTGAACATGAATACCAAATACCACAGGATTCAGGTCCCAAATAATTTGTTGCGCTAGGAATGTGGACATGGGCAGGTCTTCAATGCTTTGGAATGAAGAGACTTGCAAACCACTGTGGGATGATTGATTGAAAATAACCATGAAAATGCAAATCATGGTGGAGAAATCCATGCAGTAAATGCACTTCTCAAGTCCTCTATGGACAGCAGAAAAATGCCCAAAATTCACAGGTGATTAACCACTTCTACCTGCCTTTTAACACCATCTGTGCTCCTTGTTAAATACTAAATTGAAACAGATACATTTTCCTGGTGCACCAGAATCTACTCAACCACTAAATTTGAAAAAAATGACATTGTGTGTTAGTGAAACCCATGCACAATGCAGAATTGGAAGTACAGAGTGCACCCTCCATCAGCAAAATGTCCAAATACCTTAATAACCAGGCTTTGACTTCTTCTTACTGAGTGGATTTTTTTCCTCCTTATTTTAAGAACAGACTGAGAAACAACCTAGAATTGAGTACAAATGTGACTGAAAACAGCAAGCTCATAGGAGGGTCCTAAAATACTAGCAATGTTCCAATAAAGACTCATTCTCTGTGTACACAGATTGACCGAAACATGAAATGAGGGGCCACATTGCTATATACAGGTAGAAATCTTATAAAAGAAAAGCTTTATAAAATCAGGGCTTAGGCTTGTTACTTCTTCTAAGTGCAGCTAAGCAGCTAGTTAAGCTCCCATGGGAAGGAATTGAGAGAATGAAAATCAGTTTGCATAATAATCTATTCCTGGGTGAAAAACAGGCTGCACCTATAATAACAAGAGATTCTTTCCATGAGAATCCGTGAACAAAATATGTAAACTAACCAAGATATACAGACATACACCCTTGCCTTTTACCAACCAATGAACTGAGTACCAAAAAAACTACTAGCCAATTGGAGCTAAACACAAAATCTGCATAAAAATGAGTTATGTGAATAAAGAAGTGGCCTTTCCTACATGAAGAAACTGAGTCCTTCTGCTTTACTGCAACTTAGCACACTCTGTTAGATGATATGTTATTGCTTCTTTTAAAGGAGAAAGGCTACACATCTTAAAATTTTGATGGAAATTAGGCACCTTATAGCATTTAAAGTTCTAACATGGAACTTAGCTTCTAGCCCTGAAGTTGCTTGAACAGTGTGATGCTTTTGGACCACACATCCAACAATGAAAGCATTAATGAATTTTATTTATTCCACCCTTTAAATGTATGCATTTCTAAAAACAAAAATACTCCTACTTAATGAGAATATTGATTTAAACTCTGAAGTCTGTGACAGAGAAAACTCTTCATGAAGGAGATATTTTTGAGAAAACATGTAGAGTGACCTATTCAGCTGAGAACTGAGTGTCTTTGTCTCCTTACTTTTGGATACCACACAAAATTGCTAGTACACAGCCACAAAACTACTTCTCATGATCTCCTGGCAGGTTTCAGGAATCTCACTTTTAAAATACAGTAGATATAAACCAGATGGCTAAAGAAAGTACCAGAGTTATGCATGGCATGTACAAATTAATTGAAATCCATTTTTTAATTCATTTCAGTATGTTTGGCTTAAATTGTGATTCAGAAAGTGTTTCATAATTTTTATTTGGCCCTATAAGCTGCCTCTGGAGAACAAGGCAAGGATGAGGGAGAAACACTTCAGCCTGTGATTTCTGCCACTGCTGAATACAATTCAGAGCACACAGCCACGCTTTATCTGGTTTTATGGAGTTCTGTCTTAGGCTGCAATACAGGATGTGACCAAAAGTATGTATTCTATCACCATCTGTTGAAACCAGGTGGGGCAGTGATCCTTACCTCTGTGGGAGATATCCTCTGGGGATGGGCCATCTGTTAAAACCAGGTGGGGCAGTGTTCTTTATCTATTCCACAACCCATCCTTCCTCCAGGAGGATATCTTCTGTTAATGGGCCATTGAGTCCCACTGCATGACTGATAAAATTACATCATCCCACTGGGAGATGCTTCAGCCAGGGGGTGGAGCCAAGCCTTTCCTACCTAGATAAAAACTGAGATTTGGAACACCAAGCCATCCTTTTTCCACTGGATTCCAGAGGAAAATCCGGACCTTTCCAAATCATCACTGGACCTTCAGAGGAAAACAGAACCTTCTACAGGAGCACTGCTTCAACTGAACCACATCTGTCATCCAGGAGGACTGCAGCCACCATTTAATGGGACTGCTACCAACACCCTGACTGACAGGGTGTCAGGTTGTATTCTGACTCTGTCAGTGGTTTTGGGTTTGTTCTCTGTAGTACTGTATTTCTATTTTAATTTTCCTAGTAAAGAACTGTTATGCCTATTCCCATACCTTTGCCAGAGAGCCTCTTAATTTCAAAATTATAATAATTTGAAGGGAGGGGGTTTAGATTCTCCATTTTAAAAAGAAGCTCCTGCCTTTCTTGGCAGACACCTGTCTTTCAAACCAAGACAAATTCTTCTTGGTACTGACTGTTTGATGCCTCCATGATTTGTCAGAGTGAATAATCAATAAGTAAATATACCATCCACATATGACCCCTCACTAGGACCAGGAGATTATATTTTAAATTGATTCAGTGATAAACAAACATGATGAAAACAACAAAAAAAACCTCAGTGAAAGGAAAGTGCTTATTTTAAAAATAAACAGTGACAAACCAAGAACAAAGAGGAAAAAGGAATGAAGTTCAAAGGTAGATCAAGCAGTATTAAATTAAATTTAGATATCTATTTTCACTGGAATAATAACTTAATAAGATCATAATCTAATCAGTTAAATGGATAAACCAAGTGAGATTCTGGAGTAACATTACAACTTTTACATAATATCTACATCTTGTCCAGAGCAGTTAAAGGGGAAGCATATACTTGCAAAATGCTCCTAAGCAACCTGGTAGTACTAGGTATAAGAGGTATTATCTGAAATTGAACAACTAGAATTCACACAGGAAAAGAAGCAGGTGGTGTCCCCCATACAAGAGAAGTAGGGGCAAAGAAAAGAGATAGTTACTCCAGAACAGAATCTACTGAAATTGTTCTTGTGATAATTAGAAGGTTCTGTTTCTTTCCATTTGATTCAAACCTGGAGTATACAAACCCCTTAATTACTTCTGTTAAATCTGTTGCACTCTTATATTTAGTGTTGCACTAAATATTTATGTGAAGAAAGTTATATCCTTTCTATTACAGTATTATCTGGGATGAGAAATAAAGCTTCAGCTCCTTGATTCTACTGCTTTTACTAACTGGACAAGTTTCCAAGGAGATAAGAGAATGTTCACCAAATTTCACTTTAAAAAGGTAGAGCCTGAAGTCCCAAAAGTCTGTGTAATTTCGACATGAACCAGGCAACCTTAGCTCAGTGCCACTGCCATTCTGAAGCATGTTGTCAGGGTTTGATAGGAAATTTCCTCAAGAACCCAGAGAAACTGCACATCAAAGCTGATTTTATTTTTTTTTCAGACAGACATTTTCAAATGAAAAATTATTTTGCTATGATATTCTCAGTAAATTCTGTTTTAATTCCATTTTTTGCTCTTTGCCAGTGGGCTTTCTTTCTTTATGCTCTCTAAATTGACTAGAAAGAACAGGATCAAGCTGGCTGCACTTTATGTATCCCATCTCACTCTCTGCTTACAATCTGCTGAGTATTGACCACATATGGAAAGTGATGATCTTCATGCTGAAGAGTCTGGTATGGCCACAGCAATAAACATTTCTGCAACGGTCTGACAGTTTTCAGGGATTTGACATATTCCACCAGTTGAAAATTGAACCTACAAGTCTGAAAAATCATTCATATGTCAGATTTGTTGGCAGTACTGGGTCACTCTTCAATTTCATAGTAGCAGAAAGTAGCGTGAATTTCCCACCTGGATTTTTAGTAAAATGAACTATTTTTTATATTTTTCTAGTGTACTCAGAGGAACATAAAATGCAGTACATGTTTGCTTAGTATCCATCAGTTGTGCCTGTCTGAGTCACTTGACAAAATATTTTCTCTGATCTTATACTCGATTTTTAGTTACATCAATAGCAAGAAAATTTTAAGGAAAGTAATAATAATGCAGGAGGGCAGTGAGAGACTTTCAAGTCTCTCTTGAGAGACTGTCTTGACAGGAGGAATCTGATGCCTCTGGGAAAATAGAATTCATTTACACTAACTCTAGTCAACTGTAATGACAAGCCTTAAAACAGGCTCTGAGATGTACTTGTTTTCTTTACCGCTTTTAGTTCCTACTGAGTTATTCTTATGATGTGGGAAGAGCCACAAATTCTGCTGGTGAACATAACTTGTTATTAATAACTTGTTATTAATCCCTACATGGTTATTTGCTATCACTAGGACACACAACAGTGCCAAATTTTCCAATACAGCCTAGATAAAACCAATTAATTTTACAGACACTTTTAGAAAACCAGAGCCTTCTTGTCCAAGCTGGGTTTGATGCCACCAGCATCTTGCAGAGCCTCATCCACAGCTTGGTGTTCCTGGGGGGCTTCACTGAAGACTGTACTTGGTGTCAGGCTAAAAGTGTCACAAAAGAGAGTGAACTAAACAGCTCCTTGTGATGGGTGTTTGCTAGCAATTTTTAGGGGTTGATTATCTGCTCTAACACCTGTGCCCACCATCCAATCCATTTTTTGAGCATTTCCACCCTAGGCAGGCTAAGAAGAACCCAATCAGCTGTTTTCCAATGAAGACTTTGCTATTTTGAGGCCAGAGGTTTCTCTAGACAGAAGTGTGCCTAAGAGTTAGATGCTGCAACATCACAGGCCTTTGGTGAAACTAGGCTTTAAAACAAAATTATTCAAAGCACTTTCATATAAACTTATGCATAAAATATTACTACTAGAAAATCTATACAACAGAAAACTCTACACTGTGAGTTTTCAATCACTCAGAAAATCTCAAAGTTAGGACAGTTTTCTTGGTTATATGTGTTTGTTCATTTCCAAAATAATTTTGTTTCCAAACTTGCAGTCTCTCCTCTGCCCTGCCATCTTACAACTTTCTCCTCAATTTTTTCCATGAGCATCCTGCCCACTACCTGCACTCCCTGCTCTTAACTGCTGCTTTGCCTTGGTTTTCCCCTCTTCTTTGGCCAGACCTCACCACCAAATTTCCTCAGAGCTGGTTTGTGCAGATCATAGGCTGTTCCTGTCTCTTCCTCAAAATTCTTTTTTCCACTCTCTCTCTAGTAGACAGAGATACTTTACTCTGAATTCCAGTATTCAGTTACACCAACTAATAGTCATAAGATAGCTTTTAAAAAGCAAAAAATAAGAAGAAAACAAAGTCTGCCTCCAATTTTAATGCTACAGGAAGTATCTAATACACAAAGGAAAGCAATATATTGAAGGTCTGAAACCATTGAAGAGGAAAAGAGAAACACCATCATTTTAGTGATCTTTGTTGTTTGCCTAAGATGTGTCCTTCACGGACTTGACTGGCCATAAAAGGATTCAACACAAATTAATAACTGCTAAACTGCTTCTGATCTGCAGATCATGTTGTCCTGCTGACAGATCATACACAGTGAAGTAGAAGAGCTGATACAGGACAGCGAAACCAGCAATGAACCTAAGAAAATTGAGAAGGTGCAGCTGGAATATAAATGGACAAAAAGAAGCCTCTAAAAAAGGAAAGGCAAAAGTAAAGGAAAGAAAACAAATATGGGAACAGACAAAAGCTAAATGTAATGGTAACCCCAACAAATACACTATACCTCCTCCAAAATGCGTGCATGGAGCATGTGGTTATCATCAGATTAACAACAACATGAAATAAAATAATGCCAATATAAATTACCAAGACTACTAAAATTAATGGTTTATCTTTGATAGTTTATATCCTCATTCGGAGGTATTTAAACCCTGATTAAATGGAACCAACCAACATCCATGGAGAGTCAGATTGAATCAACCTTTAGGAGACAAGCACTACATGTTTTCATTACATTTCAATTATGTAGCCTGTCCAGATCTTAAGGATTTACACTGGGTTTTTACTCATATATTTCCTTACAGCTGGACATGGATATAATGATGATGTTAGTGCAGCAGACAAATGTTGACAAAAAGAGGTAGCAAAATTTGAAGCAATCCCTTTATTGGCTTACCTATGGATATAAACCCAGGCTATTTTCTTTCTTCATTTATGACAAAGATGCTGATTTCTAAAAGCTGTGTTTCAGAAATGTTGATTAAATCTCCTACAAATGAAAACTGTTGTTTAAATCTCTTACATATGTTTACTTGAGTATTTGCATCAATGAGCCACAATAGCTTAGATCTGATTCTGAATGTGTAATTTGTCCAGGCCAAAAAAAATGGGTTTTAGAAAGTTTGGAGCTTTCTTAATGAAATGTAGAAAATGCTTAGAGAAGTGGAGGGTAATCTGGCAAAAAGACAGATGAAATCAAGATACTAAGGGAAAGATTGATCACAAAGCAGAATTGCAGAGGAGGAAGATGAAACACTAGAAGCAGATAAGTTTATCTAGTGAATGTATAGAGGAAGAGAGCAGAGAAGATAACAGATCTGGAGACAAAAACAACAGGATGGTAGCTGAAGAGGAAGGTTGAGAGATGATTTTTTGTCTCAGGCGTTCACAGTGTTCTTCTAATACTGGCAAGGCAATGGTGCAAAAGCCACTACTGCAGGAAAAAAAGCACAAGATACTCTGTTAGCTTTGCAATAAAACAGCAGACTAGTACTCCTGAAACCTGCAATTTTGCTTCCTGGTTGTGTTTGAAACTTCAGTTTTCTTGGGCAAGGCAATCACTATTCTCTTCAGTTTCCTATTTATAAACTAGGGTGATAGTATTTCTTTCCTGTCATCTTCTTCTTAACTTGGTTGTCTGAATATCTCAACCTATTCCTGCCTAGAGGCTGGCAAAACAGCCTGGTTCTGACTGGGACTGTTACATTGGGGTTGAGCAGTAACCACGAGTATGTAAAACAGAGAGGAACAGAAAAAGCCAAATAAAATTACAAAAGTCTTGATATCAGGAACTAAAAGCAATTACTTAAAAATATGTATTTGGGTTCTTTTATTTTCTGTCTGATCCTATCAAATGTACTCAAGGCATATTTCAGCTTATTTTTAATTTATTCTCTTGAATCTTACTTTTACTTCAAAAGAAAGTGGTTATTCTCATACAAGAGCTTGTGCTTTCTGAAAAACACCAGCTCTCACCAGCCTTTTGATAAAATCATAAGAGCTGAAAACATTGAGAGTTCCTTTTGTTTTAATAACCTCTCTTTCTTGAATATTTACTTCTCATTTGAATACTTATCATGAATAAAAATTAAAACCCTATGTTTGTGAGGAATGCAAGCATATTTGGGATTAAAATGAGTGACATCCCTCAAAAATGAGGGCTTTTGAAGGGTTATCTTTCTTAAAGCAGTGCTCTTTCTGCAAGAGTATTCTGAATCCAGCATCCTACACAACCAAGAAAACAAAGGAGAGAAATTCTGTAAATGAGAAGCAGAACTGGGAAAAAGATTCTATTTGGTTCATCTAGACTAGCAGTTAGTGCAGTGTAGTGTAACTTTAATTATTAACAACATGAAGAAAATAACTGCGTTTCTAATATAATTTAAAATTCTTTTAAGCAGTGGTTTAAATTATAGTAGTTGTTAATTTAATTTTCATTATTTGCTATTTACCTGTGCAAATAAGGTGTTGTTTTCAGAAAGTTTGCTGAGAAACCTGCAAGGAGATGCAGGATTGGGATATATAACACACATGACAAGGTAAACCACAGAAAAATATGGACAAATAGCAAAGACAAATGTATCCTCTACAGCATTAAAGTTACAGAATGCCTAGAGATGAGGAGTGGCTAATATAGGAGAAAATGGTTTAGAATCTGGAGAAAATGTCTAAGTTAATATTTGCAGGTGAAATGTATGAATTTTGTAAATATGCAACTAAAGTTCCATACTAAAACTAGCTGCTCTCCCGGACCTTTTGTTTTTCTTTCTTTTTAATATGGAGATAACCACAGGCATTTATTAAAATGTATAATCTTCCATTCAAAAAGAGTTCCTGCTGAGTTTAGATATGGCCTATGTTTCTTTCCATATATGCCATTAATTAAGCACCTGGAACAGAAATGCTCGCAGTGGCAAGGCTAAGGCATCAGCTGCTGAAAGGGATGTGAAATTGTCAAACGGGGCTCTCTAAGCCATTTTAGAGAACAGAAGGACATTGTGCCTAGACACCAAGCCACAAACAAGTCTTAACAATGGGTAAATTATGGTAAGGAACAAGGCATGCATATTTTATCATGTTGTTTTGTGCTGTTTGTGGTGTTATTGAAAACAAAGAGTACTTGTGGATTAAACTGCTTAAATACAAGCAGTTATGCTTGGACTCTGCCTGGAAAACATAAGTCCTGGGGACACTGGCCGTGTTAGGAATACAATAAAGATCGCACATGATGTGCCTCATGGTAGACCTGGTCTATGGGGATGTTGTACCCACGGGAATTGCGGAGGGCACGGCTGGAGCAGAGGCATCAGGAAGGGCGAGGAGCGCTGTGTGAGTGCCGTGCTTGGGTTTCGGCGCTGATGGAGGAGGGTCTGTGCCAACGCGGAAATAAAGAAGCCAGATCAAGTCCTGGGTCATTAGGATTTTACACCTCCGTGAACTGAGCAACAACGGAGATCTGTGCCCAAAGTGGGCAGTGTTCCACTGTCATGTTTTAAGAAAGTGGTTGCCTTGTCCTCCCGCTGTGGCTTACATTACACACACAACAGAAATGCGTACGTAATTTTGTTACACACATATATAACAGCAAAGCCTCCCTGCTGCCGCTCCCCTCATCGACCAGTCCTCACGGAAGTCTGGCTGTCCAGAGCCTGGGATGGCAGCAGTGCCAAGCTGTTATGCAGGAGCGCACGTAAGGAGAGGAGGACCCTTCTCTGGGACACGCACCTCAGACACTCCCGCACGCCGCTCGGGCCCAGCCGCTCTGCCCCCCGGCCCGGCCCGGTCCCGCCGGCAGCTCGGGGGCAGGGCGAGCC